TCCTTTAGGTTCTGTATTTCTGGGAATAATTTGATCTCTCCTTCATACTTGATGGATAGTTTTGCTGGGTACAGTATTCTTGGTTGAAAGTTGTGTTCTTTAAGTGTTCGATAGATGCCATTACACTCTCTTCTTGCTCACATGGTTTCTGCAGTTAATCTTATCTGTTCTCCCTTATAGATCACTCTTTGTTTCTCTCTCGTTGCTTTTAGTATTCTCTCCTTGCCTTTAGTTCTAGCAAATTTGACAATGATGTGCCTTGGTGTTTTTCTTTTAGGGTCTATTCTGTATGGTGTTCACCCAGTTTCTTGAATATATATGCTGTCATTCTTCATTATTCTTGGAATGTTTTCCTCTAGTAATTCTTCCACAACTTTTTCAGTGCCTTTACTTGCTTCTTCCAGTTCTGGGATACCAATGATGTGGATGTTATTTCTTTTAATGGTATCCCACATTATTCTTAAGTTTTCTTCTGTTTCCTTCTTTTTTGCTTCTGCTTTTGTCTCGGTTATATCTGTGGTGACAATTCTATCTTCTATTTCACTAATTCCGGTTTCCATCTCTTCACCTATATTTGCATGTCCCTCCATCATGTTGACAGCAACAGAAACCTTAGATTTCATATTTTGAATTGTGATTTCTTGTTTTTTCCAGTGCCTCTAATGCCTCATTTGTTTTCTCTGTGTTGTTATGGATTGTTTTTTTAAGTTCCTCCTGATTTTTGACAGTAGTGTCCTGTAATTTTTCAAGTTTGTTTTTTATCCATTGAAAACATTCAATCATTTTTTTTTTTTAAATTCTGCATCAGAAAGTTCCATCAAACTTTCTGGCTTCATGAAATCCATTGCTCCTGTGTCATTTTGGGGGGTAGATATCTTGTTTGGGGCTTGCGTGGTGAGTGAGGCACCCTGCTTCTTTCGAGACATTGAAGTGGAAGAGTTTTTGAAAACTAATGTGATATTTGGTTCTTGGTTTGATGTCACTACTTTTCTATCGAGATGTCCAGTACCACCCTTTTGCTTAAGTTGGTGGGACTAATGTGGTAGGACCAAACAGCAGTTTGTAGTTAAAAGAAACTAAATCTTCAATATTGGAAACTTTTTCAAGTGAGGTTGAAAAATGCTATAAATTTGGTATGTGTGTTTTTGTTCCTTTGTTATTAATTTCTAATTTTGTGGTTTTTTGTTTTGTTTTTGTTTTGGTTTCGTTCTTTAAGTCCTGGCCCAAGGGCCTTTGGCCCTCGGGCCCCAATGTTCAGAGCTGGCAGCAGGGTCGCGGACTGGGGTGGGGGGGAAGCAACGCGGTACCTGGAAACGTGGGTCAAAGGTGCAGGGATGGGTCCCAGTTCTAATCCACTCCCTCTGTCCACTTTTTTCAGTTTTATAAATGTTTATTTTCTTTATTTTACAGGTCTATCATCTGGTGGTTGTTATTGCGTTGTTGTTATGTGCCATCAAGTCGCTTGCGACTCATAGCAACCCTATGTGCAAACCCCTAAACTCTGCTCTGTCCTGTGCCAATCCCACTGTCTCTGAAACACCCATCCAGATTACCCCAGTCATTGAATCAGTCCACCTCATAGAGGGCCTTTCCCTCCTTGTGGTCCCTCCACCCTACCAAGCATGATCTCCCTCTCCAAGTACCAGTCCTTCCTTACAACATGTCCAAAGTATGTTAGATGGAGCCTCAGAATCCTTGCC